TAGGTTTCCTATCTGGCCTGCCTAGGTGGCCGTTCCCTCGATGACTTTACAAAAAGTTTTCTATTCCCTATTCGTGGATGACATCAGTCTCCACATTAACTTTAAAGGACGAAAAGTGAAAGGGGGCCTATCCGACTCGACGACGGACGAATTCATTAAGGGTACGTTCCCAATAATTATTGATCACTGCTCTATCTACAGAGGTCTTCCGGATTTGGAATGGGGACGGTAAGGCTACCCTTGCCGATCTGAAGTTTTCCATTACAAAGCGTCCTAAACGGTCACTGGACACTGTCAAAAAAGTGCAAAAGACTAGTAACAACACCCATGCCAACGGTGAGTGTTCCTCCATTACCAATTAAAAATTACTCTGAAATGTAGATCCAACACCGGGATCTTCGACAGGGAGCTCAACCAATTCAAGATGATAGCTTCAATGTAGATCAATAAGACTATAAATATTAATGTACATGCCTATTTTTTGTTTTTAATATACACACACCGGTTAATACGACTTTGAAGTGTTGTGGGTAGTTGGTGCTATCTTATACGTTAGTATCCAAAACAAGACTACGGTAGACGGTTTATGGGGAGAGGGAGACCGACAGAAGGCAGACAGGCCGATTCAGTATAAAACGCTAGTATTTACGTTGCAAAGGATCGTGCAAATTGATACGCGTGCTGCTACCGTCGTTTTTCGAGTATATCGAAAATTCGATATCTACTCGATATACAGCCGCCGGACGAAGACGCTATCCACTCGATAAACGTATATCGAAAATACTCTATCTACCCGATATCGAGGCGATATGCTCTCTCTACTAGGGAAAGACTAAGGTTATTCATGGTTTTTATATATCAGCACCGGTAAAAACAGGGCTTGAATCTTCCGAAATCCCCAAAAATGTAATTTAACGGAAACAGTTAAGTACGGTAAACTACGATACGCCAAGGCATAACAACAGTGGCGCATGCCTACGCCAGCTTGCAGGCGCAAGCGCGCGGTCTCTCTCCAGAGAAAGCGGCAGTTAGAAAACACAAAAGATTAGATGATAGGGTCCAAGCAATATTTTTTACACGGCAACTAACAGTCTCGGCTACGAAAACAAAACGTAAAAGTCTTCATCCTTCTGAATTAAGACAACAACGACAACAGACACGAGACTAACCACAACTCGCTGGCAAATCTTTGTAAATTCGGTTCGGAGAACAATGCATTAAAAGAAACTCGCTTACCACAAAACAATTCAAAAACCCAGGAAATGACTCGACGATAACGCAGAAAGAAAATGGTAGTAGGACAAGTGTAAACACTAAGCGTTCTATGTTTGCCATGGGATAAACTACCCAAAACCAGTGAAAGGACCAGGAAAACAAAAATTAGGAAAATTATTAGTATTCTCCAAATATTTAAAAAGCGACCTAGTTTCTAGGCTCTACCGCAAATATGACAGAGGACAGTAAATTCGAATCAGCTTATCACGAATTTCTGTGCTGGCACGAGCATTGTTACTTGATACAAAATAATATGGAAAGAAGGAAACATGATAAAGCCAGCGGAAGGTCCATTTTTACACTTAATATCTACAATTATCAAATACCGATTAGAAAACACCATAGGTGGACGAACAATGCGCAGATCACTGTATGGCTTCTGCATAAGTTTCTATGGCCTTGATTGCAGGGAAATAGACACATCCGTAGATCTGGGCAGGCTAGTGAGTGTCATTTTCCGTGACTTCATAACGGTGTTTCATTAAGCGACCCACTGGCGACTTTAACGAAACATTTTGCGTAGTTAGTTTGGAGGCACTATTTTTAAGTGTGTTAATCGTTCCCCACAACCGAAAGGGCAAGTCCTTACAGCCAACAGCACAGCATCCCCAAGAGTTGCAGATGAACTGGGCTACCCGCATGGATTGGTATTAAGTCCTTTTTCTATCCCTCATTTTTAAAGGACTGTACTGAGGATTTTGACTAGAATTATGTCGTGTTTGCAGATGAAAACAATCAGGTGTGCAGATAATATGCAGAAACCGCAAAAAACCTTGACATACAGAATGTCTATTCAAATAATTGACTTCGAGCGTTAAATGCATCCATATGTGTAGCTGATCCTAGGCGTCTCCCACAACATCAGTACTACATAAGTGAAGTTCCCCTTAAGCTACTGAACACACCCAAGGACTTATGTACCAAGAAAAATTTATAATTTATTCGATAAGAACATTGGAAAGAAGTGGTTCAGAAGACAACTGACATCATGCGAGTTATTAGACGCTGTTCTTTCCTGAAACTAACCGAGTGGGTATTTGGTACCTGCGTTAGACCACCCTTGGTATACGGGTCGCCAGTCTGTATGCTCTAGATGATGAAAGACAGTTATTCCATCTAGCGGGTGCAACAACGAGCGATATGACTAGCGGGTGGTCTTACAAATCTCTTATATTCAGAAATACTGATAAAGACTAAATTGTCCCCGCTTTCTAAAATGCAACAGGGATGCAACCTAATTTTGAATATTAATCATAGCGTAGCCGCAGCCACACGTTGTTTTGAATGGATAACCCGCAGGTCAATTTGGGGTATTAATTCCACAAGGTCTCCAGACACGAGACAGACGTTCTGACCGTATATGTTGCGGGTTGTTTTAATATGTCACCTAGAATTTGTCCGTAGCTGAACGGAAAATGATTGGGATTAAGTAACTTTGTATTATAGGGCGGCAAGCCGTGCCCAGTTTCAATTTTAGATGCACGACTTCTAATTTTTCCTAGGATGGTGTAGCCCTTAAGTGTTCAGAGTCTCAAGGCTCGAGTGGCAAACTCCAGTCGCAGCCACACAAAAGTTAGAAATACCTCAGTGGGACAGTCTATATCAAAGGCAAAGAAGGTCAGCATAACAAGGTATACGGTTAGTATTGCAGATTGGGTTCCGATTTAGTTCAGATAAAGTCGTGTTACTCATCAACAGATGTTTGTGGGCATTCACTTTTTGCACTACCATGTCATTTAGACGGTTAATCCGGTGGTTAGGAGAT